ACAAAGCTTACGCCCAAAAGATAAGGCCGAATTTAGGTTAATAGGAACGCGTTTAGGGACTTTTAACTTTACCATGTAGCGCTTAAAGATAGTAATTGTTTGAAAACTGCTTTGAAGGGTGGTTTGCGGTCCAAGTTTGTAATTAATAAAGGCTCTCGATTACAAGTGCCTTTCCTCGCTGGGATTTCAGGGAGGAAGGTTGTGCTTTCATCTGAGAACTTTATTGAGGGTATCGACATATATATAATATATATCACAATATCAATGGTAGAATGCTTTGTTAATGTGGTAGCGATATTATTAAACAACAAATATGTACATACTCTATTCCAATCCTAAACTAAATAGCGAATTATAAACCGATATAATGAAGGTTACACTACGCCCATACCAGAGATAATATAGATAAGTTAATTTTCTACATCGATTTGATCGGAAACCGATACTCAAGACCTCAGAAATGGTGATATCTTGAAATTAATATGTAGAGAGATAGATAAGTATCCAATAAATCCATATTTTTATTGAGGACAAAAGCGGTTGTAGCTTTTGATAACGATGGATCCTTTGTTCCCACTAATTAGGCAGTTGTCGAACTTGTCGTCGAGGAGCTTCTTATTATCAGCTATTTTCTCACTTATAATTAACAAAGAGAAAAGAAATTAAATCAATATACCTTTTATGCGAAGAAGTGTGAACAATTAGTGATTTTTCGTAGAATCAAGATGAGGTATCTTCTTAAGATATTCACAATATTTAGATATATTTGTATTATACATTGTTAAAGGTGACTGACTGTTAGGACTACATTTTACAGCTTTTAGACCGCCGAGATAAAATGTAAACTTAAATGTAAGAAGTCATATTTTTTGGATATTTCACATCAACCCCCTAATTAGGTATATGTTAGAGCAGTCGCCCGGATTGCTAAAAGTCGTTGGTTCGAATCCCATCACACGAGTGCCAAATACAAAGTGATTTTTTTTTCACGTTTCATTAAGAATCTTTTTATTTTATTTTCGTTTAATAAGTACCATAAAATGTTATCGATATCAGATTAGCAGTTTATTTTTTTAAATAATCAATGATATTGTTTCACAATAAGAAATAGTTAAATATGTTTGGCAGGTAAAAATATTTGTGAATTTATTACTTCAAACTTTAAATCTTAATATCGCCGTGTAGTGAAATTTCATAAAAATACCCATACTTAAGTGGACTTTAATAGCATGTAGGTAAGGTAGTATTCACTGGTGAAGTCGGTAGTGTTGCGTGAGATAAGCCGTAAAGCGGTGTTCGGATACACCCCAAATCACCTGCAAATCCCAGACAAGCCCCCAACGGTTTACAAAATTTGTATACCCCTACACTATAGCTACAAAACATTTTACATAGATTTTAAGCACTAAAGCCATCTGCATTTAAGCTATTTGTCGCAGGGATATGATAAAATCTAATAACTTAATCAAATCACTAGAAGTGGAAAAAAAATTTCAGCGAAATGGAACATAATAATTGTAACTTGAATATGCTAAGCTATTTACTTGTTTTAATCATTACCAGCCTGTTAACGTATCCACTATTGATAATAAGCTGTCCCTATTTACAAAATTGAGTAGTGAGAGTGGCCCACCACACAGTTCCAGTACAGACAGATAGTACAGACTCGTAGATGTTAACGACTGTAGATTCAGCCGGGATGATTAGCTTATAAAAACCGAATGCGAATCGGACTTACGCACCAAGGGTTCCATACCATTATCTACGAAAAACACAAAATAATCACGTTTGTTGTATGGGACCCCCTTAAATATTTATTTTATTCCGTTATAGTATTTATTGTTATAGCGGCGACAGAAATTCATCATCTGTGAAAATTTAAACTGTCTAAATTTCGCAAGCCTGGCGACAGATCTATCTTATTGAGCTATTAGGTGATCTTTTGAAGCATTTCTTCGTAGTTCGCCAGGCGGCGGGGTATGCGAAAAGCATTTCCGCTATAATAAAAAAAAAATCACCATCCACTGTGTCTAAACAGCGGCCGGTATCGAATCTAGTGCAGTCAATTATCGAAATACGTCGCGCGCGTTAACTAGCTACCGACGGACTTATGATCGGGCCTGTTTTGTTATTTTCACTCTACACACTCTACACCATGTGTTACATCGGGAGCTACGCTATAAAAGCATAGCTATTTTCATAATAACGTTAAAAACAATAATTACCTCAATTGATTGCACACTTAAATGCTATACAAGTTGTGGGTGATTCCTGATAGAAGTATTCTTGATCAAATCCATTACTCCTTTTTTCTCGACGATTAAGGATAGAAAAATAGGGTGTCACATTTCTGACGCCAGGAAAGGTTTCTCTGAAATCAATCGTATAATAGATGCCCAGGTATTTATTAAAATTTGGAATCATATACATTATCGTAGAAGTTACCTTTCATTGGTACATGAATAAAAAATTAAATTAAGGTTCTGAAGTTCTTTTAGTTTTCCCATATTATAAAATAATTTAATTCTAATATTAATGAATACTTCTAATATGAATGAATGCTTGTTGATCTTTCATGATATCTTTATATGGAGGAGTGCCCTTGGCGGCTGAGTTTAATTTAAGATCAACGCCGCATGCGAGCCCACAATATATCACTCACCAGCGCCATCCGCGCGTCATTTTATCGCACTAATTCGTGCTTCTCGATGTGGCATACTAGTTTTAAGATAAACATCCCAAACGTCCTTCCGTTTTACACCTTTTTAAACTTTACGTAATGACGTTATGGCTTCATTTCCATTGACAACATGTAACTTTTATGTTGAGTTCATATGTCTTTACTAAGATAAGCGAACTCGATAATATGTTTTCATTTGTCTTGAGTGGCAATAAAAATGTAATATGTTATGTGCAAGTTGAAATCTGATGCGTCAGTGTAGAATTAAAATTTTATTGGTCAGTTCGGTCGGTCAATATTTTTATGATTAAGAATTATAGCCGATTTTAACATGTTTTAAGGACACAACTGTACTATGGCTGTATGTCTATTAATAATTCAGTTAAACATTTCCTTGTCTATTTCTTATTTTACGAAATTTTTTTTTCGAACAACTATTGGATAATTTCTCATATATTTAAGGATAAATAGCTCTTTTGTCGCTGTAATTTATCCATTAATAAATTAGTTCAATACATAGACATGAGTGAATGAATGATTTATTGAACACACCATTATCACATTATAACAGCAAAAAATAACAGTCGACTATTTCTTTTACAAAATATTTTTTCTCTACCTACTATTGAAAATTTTCACATGTATTTGAAGACATAGCTCTATTGTCTCTGTACGTTTATTAAAAAATTAGGCATTCATTTTTTTTTTGTTTTAACAAAATATGATCCCCGTTTATTATTGGAGAATATTCTAAGAATACTCACATATACAATAAATATGTATAATTTTAAATAACGTTTCCTTATGCACAGATATTTCTTTGTACAAATTATCAACAAAATCTGACGTAACTCAACGAGCCAATTCTGCTAATATTTGATAATAAATAACAATGTTTGTGCCAAATAATGAAATTCCTTTTAATTTTATATAATTAATTTTCTATAGGTTTGCTTTCACAATTCAATTTTTGATAGACGTCAACTGTCATCAATTCTTCCTCTAATAAGTACAAACAGCCTGAACAAATAATAATGATAATAATCACAACTCAATATAGCAGTGCAGTGATCTATAGTCAATTATATGTATAGAATCCATAAACTACTTAATATTTTTATAAGAACAAAATTCATCAAAAAGTTTTACTATTTATCAGGAGCATCCACGTTCTTGCCTAATAAAACACTTTCAGTTAATCTCAGAATCGTTTTATCTCAAACTAAACTGTATCAACATAAATACAGCTAATTTTGCTGATATTTACAAATCCTGAAATCAATTTACAATACTACTAATATCGCTAAATGCGAAGACTATCGTAAATTATATTTTAATGTTTCCGTTACAAATGTTGCCACATTAAAAATTAATGGGGTTTTAAAACTATTTCGCATTGGCAACACGCGCCAATGGAACAGGAAACGGATACATCTATTATATCATTTGGTGGGAACATGAAATTTTTTTTATGAAAATAGCATTATATGAGGAAACTATAAAATAATCTGATTTATGTTAATGCTTTATTGGTTTTATAACATTTTCTGTAATAGCTACTATTTATATATGACACTGAGTTGTGTAGCGGGCCTTGTTATATTTTTAAATAAATAAAAGCTTTGGAGTAATTTTTCGTTTCTTGCGTTGTTCTTTATTATACTAGACTTCGTATTTGGAATAGCTATCCGAAGATGAAAAACAATTTCAAATCTATAATCTTCATATATATCGGTTTTAGTCATGCGACTGAAACACCTAATAAGTCGTAGATGCTAACACTTTAAGTTTCTCTATTATGTATCATCAGCGAAATGTTATACTTTTTTATAGTCTGATTTACAATATAGGTATAACTTTTCAAATTCTTCAAAGGTATTTTATGGTTTAATAAAAAAAAAAAATCTGATATAAGTATACCATAGAACGATAAATAGATGAGCTTTTGATCATTAATTACTACGTTATTTTAGATCTTAGAGGAATTGAAAAAACCTCGAATATGATGCCAAGAATTTTTTTCTCGGGAATCATCTTTGTATGGTATTATCTGCCAGATAAATTAATCGGAGCTAAAACTATGAATCTGATCCTTATTATACAAGAGCTTCTAATGCCTATAAGCACATATGATTATTGGCTTCCGTGGCCGAATAGGTCTCATACCACTGGTTTTAAGTTGAGTTGACAGTATCTACTCTGTGGGTGGTTGTGTAACTTCCTTCGATGCAATTTTATTTATGATGATATGTAGGCACCTTCGTTGTATTAGATAATTTGGTATTTGAAGTCATGTTATAACTTATTTTAATTGTTGCAGTCAAAGATCATCTCCATTCGGACCTCGATGCTGATGACGTGGAAACCGACGACCAAACATCAAATATGGATGACGATATCCTAACACAGTCCGACTTGGACGACAACGGGGATCCCAAGAGTCCAACCAGTTCTAGCTCAAAGAAAGGAAAGAGTTCCTCGAGTAGAGATTCTAAGGGTGGCACTAAACCGAGACGAGCTAGAACAGCCTTCACTTACGAGCAGCTAGTCTCGTTGGAGAACAAGTTTAAGACAACGAGGTACCTTAGCGTTTGCGAGAGACTCAATCTCGCTCTCAGTTTGAGTTTGACCGAAACTCAGGTACGTTAAAATTTAAAATGTACAAGTATTTATAGAATTCGATGAATTTTATGAACTGATAGAGATATCATTTCTGAAGTTTTTGTGGTTACACGAACGAAGTAGCTCGAGTAAATATTTTTTTTTGGTCACCCATCCCGTGACCGACCCTTGCGAAAGTTGCTTAACAACAACGATCGCTAGTTACTAGATCACAACAGTAATAAATATATCTGTCACCATTAATTTGCGAGGATGACATTGGATTAATAATACTGGATTTCAGGTAGATAACACAATACCAAAATGGAAGTAGTTAATACTCTATTAAGATGCGAATATTATGAAAAACATTGTAACTAACATTTGCTACAATATTAATTGTATCAAATATCTTTGCCAGGTCAAAATCTGGTTCCAAAACCGGAGAACCAAGTGGAAAAAGCAGAATCCAGGGATGGACGTCAACAGTCCTACCGTGCCACCCCCGCCCGCGGGCGGCTTCCCCTCAGGGCCGTATCCAGGGGGGCTCCTGTATTCCCACGGGGTGCCGTATCCTTTCACCGGCCCTGGACCTTACGCGCCGTACTTCCACCATCTGGCGGCGAATCACCACCATTCGCACGGCAGCCTCGGTCACTCTCATACGTGATTATGGGCGCGCCCAGGATCACAAGATCCTCGGGTAGACAAGGAGAATGATAGCCCGTGCGGACTCACCAATTAAGACGGACAATGTGTGCGAGTGTAAGAAAATATGTGCTCCATCTTTGGTTTTATAAAAGTACGATAGCCTTCAACGAAAACTTTGGCAATTTTTACAGTTACATAATGTAATATAACCTAAATAAAATAGCCACTTCTATTGGAAAAAAATAGGTGAACATTTTGACAGATACTAAGTGTTTCTACAACTTTACATCAATTGTGTAACATGCTTATAGTGAAATAGTTAAATAAAATCGATTGTGATATCTACGGATAAGCTTATGCTTTATTTTTTCAGTTTCAGTAAACTATTTTTAATAATTTTTTAACTGTTTGTTTCCATTTTATGTTACAAAAATACCAGCAAATTTTATACCATCAAATATAAATTCAATATTTTGATTAACTTTAATTTTATTATTGTTCAAAACTAAATGCCGAACTCTATTTTGTTATATAAAAACTTAAAACACTTAAGATCATAATATGTGAAAATAAAAAAACCACCATGATTCAAAGAAAGGTACTTTGAGACTTTTAATAATACATTAAAAGAGGAATTCATTTTTTATTTATGTAAAAAATATAAACACTCTTGTATGATAAGATCACTTCTTTGCTTTTTCAGGTAGTATTTATTAATCCATAAATAAAAATATGTATTTAACATATAAACTACTCGTTAAATCTTACTGCATTAAATTTAAAGCAGAAACCTATTTTATCTTTCATGTGTAATATATTTTATTTTGTTTAACTTCACTATTTGAAAGCAATTGATATTATATTTACATAACTAAAATAGGTTTATTGATATTTTTTACAATAAATATCATTTAACAAATTGGCTCTTTAAATGGACCATGGGCATGTTTGACTGTAGTCTAATACCGTTTTACATTGATAATAATGTTGCAATAATTCAGTTTGTAAGCCACTTGTAGGCAACAATTGAGGAGTAGCTCTATGTTGGCCAATATTACGCAACATCGCAATATTGCCTATTACGCTGCATTAAGATGTAACATGTAACTACATGTTAACATGTTACTACATGTCAACCTGCCTATTCTAATATTCTTTTTGGACACATTATACATAATTATATTCACATCATTAATGTAATTAGCAGCATATTTGATTAAATAAAAACGCATCTGAGATTTTGATTCTGGGGAATTAACATGAAACTGATAATGTTAACATGTGTACATTAATTGGATTACAATATCGTGTCTGAGATCATAAAATTCTAAAGACATGTTGTTAATATTTATTTAAATGCATAAATAAAAAATATGCTTCATAAAAAAAAATTAATTGTAACATAAAGTTGCAACTCTATTTTTGCCTAAAGAGCAAAGGGCTGAATTCAAAATCTTTCAACACTAATATGGCACTGAATAAATATGTAAATTGTAAATAATTTATATAATATGACGTTTCTATTAAATTATTGTAATAAGTACCTAATAATGTTAAGTTCAAAGCTCAATGCTGTACATATTACTTACGTAGCTGGTGGCGACACCTTTACAAACTCGATGTTGGAATAAAATAGTTTCAAGTTGATACCTGTGTTTTATTCGATTACTAATATGACCAATCTATATTTTTTTCTTTCATCGCCAGTCTATTGACGTCTCCACTGCTGTGGCACCGTAAGCCAATTCCGCTAATGTTTACGTAATTATCGTATTTCAAAAGAATCTCAACTACTTGCGTTTTGCCATTGTACTCTACCTGAAGTCCAATATTATTAGTGATATATCTTCACAAATCAATGGTGACAGATATATAATAATATTGAACTTCAAGTACAGGCCCGTCTTTACCCATGGTGCAGGGGGTGCAACGCACACGGGCGCCGCACGTTGGGAGGCGCCGCACTGATGATCTTCGGGAAATTCCTTATAATGGGGGATATGGGGAGACCACTGCTTGCACCCGGGCGCTTGTTGTGCTTAAGACGGGCCTGTTCAATTAGATAGTACAATGGCAAATGCAAGCAGTTCGAGATTCTACTGAGGTGTGATAATTACTTAATTAGCCTACAGGCCTTTCCTATGGATGATATCGAATATGATGCATATCGGTGGTATTAACGACTACAGATTCCGAAGCGAAAACTAATAATTGTTGCATCGAGCTTCATGTTATTTATTATGAATATTAATCAACCGGATGACATGTCTATTACCAATAGACCAACTTGGAGCTAATTATCTAATAACAAAATCTATCATAATAATTTTGAATTTGATATGTGTTGGCGAACGCAACGTTTTTTGAATGATATTACATAAACGTCATCTTTAATTTAACATTAAATGGAAGTATTTAAGGCAAGCGTTAGACGCAAATGCCTATGAAAGCTGTTGTGAAATGTCAATTGAACACTAACTGCAATTTTTCAGCTTCTTAGCTAAGTTAATGTTATGTCTCTTGATCATTCAAACCATCATTAGTTCTAAACAGCGACGATGACCATAAAAGTTTTCTAAACGGCAACGATTGTGATAGCCTATGAAATGGATAGTGATAGCTTTTGTAATTAGAAAGTTTTTGAAATTAGATAATATAGTCCCTGTTCATATCACCTTTGATATTATATAATTCTTTTTTTTTAACTGTATTTGAATGTAAGCACAAGATTAAATTAAAAAGACATAAAAACATGCAAACACATACCTAAACCCCATTCAATGTCATCAAAAAAAATTACATATCAAATTGATTCATAATATTTATACAATAGGACTTATAATCATCATATCATTAATTGTATCATAATATTATTAAAAGATACGAATTAAGAATTACAGTATGGGCAACCTTGGACATGTTGTGGGCCAAACTTTAGTTAGCAAATACGTTCGCGGGCTGCGTTTTAAAGTAGTACATTTTAAAGTAATGTTGTAGCGCTCATATTTTTTTGCGATAGATATCAAACATAAAATAATACGACAATGTTATTATAAATTTGGTTTTTCAAAATGTCTCGCGGGCCGGCTGTTGCCACAGTGGAATTAGAGACACAGATATTTTTTCCCTCGTCATTCATACCATTGACATTCAATGACAAGAACACCAAATAGGCAATTAATGCTGGACTAAACAATAATAAACGAAACATTAGACAAGATCCCAAATTAAACTGCTAAATCACTTGTATTATGGTAACATAAATCAACGAAGCTACACCCAGACCAGAGACAATATATGAAAATTCATTTTTAACATTGACCCGAACGGTAGTCGAATCGGAGCGACACCTTTGGAAGAACCTGCTTAAAAGGTACTCTGTTACGGACTTTTTTATATCTTTATAGAGAGGTAGAAAGTATCCAGAAAGAATATCCATCCATTCATTAAAAATATCTTTTAAATTTATAACGCTGCATCTCTTTTTTAGACACATTATACATACTTAGATATTCTCTTGTGGCTATTTATAATTTCTTTGCAAAAATAAAATTTGAAACTTTATTATGAAGACAAAAATTCACATTTCCTATCTAGCTAACACATGCAGACAAGACGTCTTGTCATATCATGTCATCGCCATGTACTATCCAGCCTATTTCTTGGACTACACAGGCCTTTTATAAATAATATTACATAGGCAGAACGGGCCCTAATGACACACCAAGCGATAAAATCTATGCTGCTCTGTTGTAAAACAGCCTGGAGCTCGAGACTCGAAAGAAAACTTTTATCAACGTTTCTAATAGGTTTTATTTGATTGAACCTATACACAATGACACCGCCGCGCTCAGCGTCGAGTTTTATTTGTTTATAACAGAAATAGCACTGAAGATTATTGTTAATGACTACAGACGTAGCCGGCACCAACGTTTAAATATGCCTTCCAAAGCACTCGTATTAAGGAGTTTCTGAGACAACGAAGGTACCGAGACAGCCGGACGCGAGATAATATATAAAGTCCATTTACTACATTTAACCAACTGGGAATCGAACCCGGTACCTCAGATGTGGGGACACCTTGAAACCAATGTGCGAACTAGTCGAATTGAAGGTCATACATAACCTCTGCAATTGAAGACAGACACGCCAATCACTACGCCATTGGCTTCTTACAATACGTCATCATCTAAAACTAATTTGGACACTACATAAAATATTTTTAAGAGTTTAAGGCATAATGGCCTTATAAAAATGTGTTTGTTTGTTCTTTTGCCTGTTTTTCTGTTTGTTGAAGTATGATGTAGCACTGAAATATATTTGTGTAAAATTTTTATTAATTACGTTTTTATATCCATATTTTATCAATTTTGCATTTATAATGCTATACTGAATAATATTCTTAATGAAAAATGCTTAAAAAATCCACATTGTCCCTGGCAATCTGAGATGGGTTTGAGATATTTAATATTTATTCAGTTATTTCTCCCTTTCAATATCATTTAAAATATTATTAATTGTATAGGATTATTATAAAATCGACGTCTCAATACAGTATATTTATCAACAACAAAAAATCTCAACCGATTGTACCGACAGTCTCAGTTGGACTTCAAGTTTTGAAGCCCGTCTCAGCATAGCGTGCAAGTTATTGGTACAAGATAAATAGGTACGTTAAATGCCTTTTGTCTTAAGGAAATCAAAGAGCTTATAATCCCATAATTATAGTAGATTCTTTGCACTTCTATAAAATAATGGTAGGTGTTAATTTTTTTATTATGGTACACATACAGTATTGGTGAGGAAGATTTCATCCTAATTCATTAAAGTGTTGTGTTTGTAAAATAATCCGTAATTTTATGTAGGTAATTTTCATCTTCGCTAAGAGGTTCTATAATAAAACTGCATTTTTGGGTGTAAACAATGATACTTCTTTTTTATTAAAATGAAAAATGACACCTTTTTTTCACGACCTCGTTACTAATTAACACAGTTTCAACAAACCACTGCAAGATTGATTGACGGCAACAACAAAAAGCTCATCTTGACTAGCTAAAAATGTGTCGAGCAAATTCTTCAACGACATCGGGGCTGTTTGCCACCGATACGCGGCGTCTTTGAGCGGCGCGCAAGATGGCGTCGCATCATCTGTCATTTTTAATTGGCTGTCAAAGTGACAGCGTCACGCGCCGCCGCGAATATATTTAGTTTATTGCCGTATAAACGACACTATTATTGGCGGGGAATGGTCCTCATTAGATTCGCATCGATTTTGGCTACCGTAAGTGTCATAAAAAGATGATATGACTTTATATTAGCTACGAACAACGATCATTCTATGTAGGTCTTTTAAAGTTTTCAATATGATTTCTAATATTCATAGTTCTTATGAAGTTCAAAATAATAAATTAATGGACTATTATAATATAGCTACTATGTATATGAAATTTTTATTTTTTTGTAAGAAATATAAGAGGTGCACTTTTGTGAATCATTCTATTTGTTCTTCCCAAGTTACCTTGGCCTGGGTGATATTTTTATTGCTTGTGTTCATACATAACCTAGTTTATCAAAATTATCACCTTTTCATCTAAACATTTCGCTATTCCACCTATGTTATCAAATAAAATATACATTTTGTAGCACTCCGCCCGCGAAAATTACATTCAGGATTTTTCTGACATTTAATTTACTGTTTGAAATCAACTGTTTTCATATAAGAAATCGATCGTTCAAATTGCTGAAAACTACAAAGTTGAAGTCAAATTTAGTCATCTTAACTAACGGACGTCATTTGTTTTTTATAGTCCAAAGTCTATTTGCAAACATAATAACATTCTAACATCAAAGGGACGATCATCGATGACGTATAAATAAGGGCTTTGAACAAAACAAGCCACTATCCTTGTAATGTCTTAATTTGAGTTAGAGCGGGCGCCTAACAGAGTTTATTTCACAATAAACTAAATATATCGTTTTCCTTCCCTCGTTTTCGACAACAAGTGGCAATTAAAAGTGACAAATGGTATGAGGTATATATGTTAGCGTGTTGTAGTTATAGAGGTGTGTGTCATCTTTGACAGTGTTTCAAAGCGATGTACCTTATGATCTTTCCACCGTCCACTTCACTCGCACGAGGGGCTGACAAGACACATCATGATAATCTATAAAAAACCGTTTCAAAAATTCAATATGAGCTTTAGCTCGCGACGTTAAAGAAGGTGGGCGTTGGCGCGAATTTATGATCGCCATCTTGTTTTTGTGACCGCTTACACTTGAGTGATGTGGATGTCAAAAAAAGATGAAAGTAAACATGTTATGATGCGTAGTAAGCTTTTGTAAAACGTCTTGTCTTTTAGTGCATTAAAAAGCGATAAATGTTCGCTGCAAAATCTGACAAGACTTCTAGAAATTATTATTATATTCTACTAAAATAATTGTAACTATAATTTTTCAACCAATGGCAAATATAGTTCAAAGGAGATTGACTCATCTATGTTCAAGTAAGAGCAAGTATATTAAGTATTAAAAGACAGATTATCTATCTGTCCTATAAAATTTTTTTAATACAATATGAGCAACATTTTTTATGTATAAATGAACTTTTATCTTTTTCATTTCAATGTCAAAACCGAATAAGATCAAA